GACAATCCACAGATTCAATGCAATCCTTATCTAAATTCCAATGGTATTTTTCACAGAAATAGAACAGTCCTAAAATTTGTATGGAACCACAGAAGATCATGAAAAGCCAAAGCAATCTTGAGAAGGAATGAAGCTGGAGGCATTGTGCTCCTTGATTTCAGACTATTTTACAAAGTTAGAGTAATTAAAACATTATGGCACTGGCACAAAAACAGATACACAGATGAACAGAACGGAGAGCCCAGACAATCCCATGCATGTACGGTCAATTAATTTACAACTGAGAGGGCGAGGCCGTCTCTTCTGTAAACGGTGTCGGGAAAACTGGACACTGCCCTACGCCACACACAAAGAACACTCGAAATGGATTACAGCCTTGAGTGTAAGATCCAAAACCATGAAACTCCTAGGAGAAGCTCCTTGACATCTGTCTTGGTGATGATTGTTTGAACCTGATACCAAAAGGAAAAGCGACACAAGCAAAAATAAACAAGTGGGACAACATCAAATGGAAAGTCTGCACAGCAAAGGAAACGATCCATGGGATGGAAAGACCACCTGCGGAATGAGGGGGCCTAATTGCAAATCCCGCGTCCGCGAGGGTCTGGCGCCCAGAGCTCACAAGCTTGACAGCAGAAAGACAGGGAAGCTGATCCCAACACAGGCGGAGGACGGGGACAGACAGACACTTGGCCCATGGTGAGAACAACTAAAATAAACAAGTCAGGAAACGGGCAGGTGTTGCCGAGAAAGGGGAGCTCTTGTGCACGGTTGGTGGGAATGCAAGCTGGTGTAGCCGCTCTAGAAAAGAGTCTGGAGGGTCCTCAGGAAGTTAAAAATAGAGCTGCCCTAGAAGCCACAATTGTACTAGGTATTTATCTGAAGAAGACAAAATTACTGATTCGGAAAGATATATGCCCCCCACATTGCAACATTACTCACGACAGCCATGATACAGAAGCAGTTTGTGTCCACCAATGAATGAAGGGGCATAGAAAAATGTGGTGTGTGTGTGTGTGTGTGTGTGTGTGTGTGTGTGAGAGAGAGAGAGAGAGAGAGAGAGATGGAGTATTACTCAGCCACAAAAAGAACGAAATCTTGCCGTTTGCAATGCTGTGGACGGCTGCGAGGGCATCATGCTCAGGGACATAAGCAGAGAAGGACAGACGCCATGTGTTCTCTCCTGCGTGGAGGCGGGCTCCAACAACAGCAACAACAGAGCCAAACTCGTGGGTGCGGAGAACGGGTTAGGGGCTGCAAAAGGTGGGGATAGAGAGTAGGAGAAATGGGTAAACTGTCTTGTTTTGCTTAAATAAGTTGAATTTAAAAACACACGTGTACTGGATCACTGTTTTGAAAACTAGGAATTCTGGCAAAGAGAATGTTTCAAAGACCTAAATCCTAAATAAATGGAGAGAAGAGAATTGTGTTCATGGACTAGAATGCTGAAACTTGTGATGTCAGTCCTCCCCAAAATGATCAGAGATTTCAGGAGAATGTTTTGTAGCTGGATAGGGGCCGACACAGAGGAATCAGAAGGTCTGAAACAACTTTTATCAAGAACAAAGCAGGGGTGGGGCGCCTGGGTGGCTCAGTGGGTTAAAGCCTCTGCCTTCGGCTCAGGGTCCTGAGATCGAGGGTCACATCGGGCTCTCTGCTCAGTGGGGAGCCTGCTTCCCCCCCCGTCTCTCTCTGCCTGTTGCTCTGCCTACTTGTGATCTCTGTCTGTCAAATAGATAAATAAAATCTTAAAAAAAAAAAAAAAAAGAACAAAGCAGGGGTACCTGGGTGGCTCAGTGGGTTAAGCCTCTGCCTTTGGCTCAGGTCATGGTCTCAGGGTCCTGGGATCGAGCCCTCTTCGGGCTCTCTGCTCAGCAGGGAGCCTGCTTCCCCACCCCCCATCTCTGCCTGCCCCGCTGCCTGCCTCTCTGCCCACTTGTGATCCCTCTTTCTGTGTCAGATAAATAAATAAAATCTTAAAAAACAAACAAACAAAGCGGGGTGTGGGGGGGGCTCTGGGTGCGCAGCAGCGAGGCCCACATGGGCAGCAATGGTCAGCACGGACACAGGGGGAGGTGGACGCAGCAAGGACCCAGAAACAGGCCCACACGGGGGACCACCGTGCCAAGGTGCACGAGAGTTCAGCGAAGGCGGCAGCGATGGGACGTGAGCCTTGACCTAGCCGCGCGTCTCCCACGAAGATTAGACGCACTGTAGCTCTAAACGCACATCATGGGACCAAAAGCTTTCAGGAAAAAGAAATCCTCAAGGCCTGGTGTTAGGTGAGAAGGTCCCAGCAATGACGTGAAAGGAGCCGTCTGCCAGAGAATACATCTATACACCAAATTTCATCAGGAATTCAAAATTTTGCTCTGTGAGATGCACCGTTAACAAAATGAAGAGACCAGCTAAAGACCCAGAGAAAAAATTTGCAAACACATACACGACAGGGGGTTAGATCCAGAACACGTAAAGCACTCGTGGGTTCTAAATGTGGTGTCTCTCCTGACCGGATGGGGCCCAAACGTGGGGCCGCCCACCGGGGTGGAAGCCGGTGGAGCAGGAGGCGCACAAGTCCTCCTGACCCCGCGGCAAGCGAGGCCGTCCACCCCGCGGCCGCAGTGAGGGCTGTCTTGAAAGAGGGAGGGCCGGGAGGTCTGGCCGCACACAGAATTTTCCTGTGTTTGGTAACGGTGCCTGGTTGTGAGCAGCCCATTGGGCAGTTCGGCCCACGGATATTTTGAGGGGGGGTCTCCTGATGGGCTTGGCTGTGCTCAGCCAGGGGCCACTCAAGCCTGTCGGCCTGGACGCCGCCTCTACGGGACACCCTGAACTTAACACGAAGAACTCAAACAATCCGATTTTAACATGGGCAGAATGTGATGCTTCATCAGGGAGGATATATGTGGGCAAATCAGCGGTGGGAAGGTGTCCAGCACCCGGGCCATGGGTGCAAGTTAAAACCATAATGAAGTTTCACTGTGCACCCATCGATCGGCCAAAATTAGAAACCGTGACATCAAATGCCGGGGAGGGTGCAGGGAAGCTGGACATCGCTCCAGTAACCGGCAGTTTCAAACCCAGTGAGACATGACCTGGGCACACGCTCAGCAGTCTGTCCCCAGGTGAGACCCAGGCACCTGAGTTTCCCGGCCACTCCTTGCAGCCAGATCAGGAAGCCACAGATGCCTTTGACAGGGGCAGGCCGTGCACACTGAGGCAGGTCTATACGGATTGACCGGGACTGACGTGGGCTGGAGGAGGGACTGGAGGGCCGGCGGTGGCTGCCGGGCCTCATGCATTGGGGAAGCCAGGCTCTCCCCATCCCTGGGGCCTTCTCCCCAGACGGAACGGTGACCAGAGGCCATCGGCAGTGGGGCTGGCAGGGGCAGGGCGCGACCCCAGGGGGCATAGGATGGGTGCCGGGTAATTCTGACTGGTAGTGTTCCTGGGAGTCTATACTTGGGCACAAAAATGGGGCAATTTTATCGTACGCTTGGAACAACTGAAGACAGCTGCACTCGGGAGCCACACCTCACTGTCCTGCCTCCTCCAGCCTTTGCTCTAGCCAAGCCCTGGGTCACCAGACTCCGAACTGCCGGGAACCGGCTTCCGGTGGGGAGAGGGCAGGGTTCAAGGGCAAAGTCTGCTTAGCTTTTGGGAGGGTGGGGGCTCACCTGGGCACACACCAAGTGAAGCCACAGGAGAGGGGATGACCCTGGGTGGGGGAGGCGCAGAGCGTGACCCTAGGTAGTGGGGGGTGGCTCCCCAGCAGGGGCCTGAGCTCGACACCCCCTGAACCGCTGTTGGCAGTCTGTGAACTGGGAGTGGGCAGGACCGGCTCACAGGGGATCCCTTGCCCAGGCTCCGTCACCTGCCGGGTGAGGTCCAGGTGGAGGTGGGTGGTGACTAGCTGAGGGGCAAGAAAAGGCAGGAAAACACCTGGCAGGCGCCTGAGTGGCCGCAGTCCAGCTCTCTCCTTGCTGCAGCCGGCTGTCCGGCAGCCCAGGTGAGGGGCCGCTCTTAGTCTGGGGGGGCTGTCCTGGCCAGGGAGGGGCTGTCCTGGTCAGGGAGGAGCTGTCCTGGTCTGAGGGGGCCTGTCCTGGACAGGGAGGGCTGTCCTGGTCTGGGGGCTGCTGACCAGTCCTGAAAGGGGTGTTCTAACCATGGAGAGTGTACCCACCCTCCTTGACCACCCACTGGGGGCCCAGGCTGGGGGTCTCACAGTACTATATTCCTTGGAGATAGGGTTATGAGGTGGGGTTCCAGTGTCCTGAGCCCTGCCATGCCCTGGGTGCTGGTTGGGGGCACAGGCTGGGCCCCCTCAGGGCTGGACTGACTGGCTCAGACCAGTCACCAACCCTCTGAGTTGATGCCTCCCAGCCTCGGAGTGGGGCCCGAGCCCCACAGCCCGTCCCAGAGCGCGTGTGTGTTTGTGAGGCTGCCGGCGGGCTGCGGGGTGCGGTCTCCCGTGGGCTACAGTGTGGAGGCTCCAGACTGTTGCAGGTGCGGCCCTGTTCGGGGACATTTGGGACCTGGAGCAGGCCCTATGGGGACCCTGCGTGGCCCGCATTCCCAGCTCTGCCTCGGCCTGCTGCCCAGAGCCTGTCTGGAGCCAGCATAAAATCAGATTAGAGAAAGAGGTTGGGTTTTCAAACAGAAACCGGTATCTTTGTTAAGAACCCCCTGACCTCAAGGTCCTTTTTCATCAAGAAAATGTGCTTCTCGGGGCCCCACTGACCTCACTCACTAGACCCCACGTGAGGCGGCCTGGCAGGAAGCAGCCATCCAGCTGGTCACCTGTCCCCATGGCTCAGGCCTGCCCTCAGGGCTCCCAGAGGGAACACGGTGCCCTGGGCTGCAGAGCGGACGGCAGGCCGGCGGCCAAGGGAGGGTCCTGGGTTCCCCGACTTCAGTCTGGATCTGACCTGCTAGGCGGGGGCTCCTTTTCCTGGGAGGGCGGGGGGAGCAGGGCTGCCGGGAGAAGGTGGTGGGGCGTAGCTGCGCCGGTCCCCGATGTGGCATGGGGACGGGGCTCTTCTGGGCCCCATTGCCGCTAGCTGTGTGTGTCTCGGGCTAGCCCTGCTGCCTTCCTGGGCCCTGGCCCCTCTGCAGCCCACGGTCCCCTGGGCAGGCCTGGCTCCTAGCGTGTGGTCTGCGGCCTTGCCCCCTGACCCAGCAGGGTGTTCAGTGTCCCAGCGAGGACTTGGCGCCTCTCCAGGTGGCCGTGTCTGCAACCATGGAGTCTGGGTGCCCACTGCCCCCCTGCAGATGCCAGCCCCTCATGGGGCTGACCTGGAAGAAGCGGGTCCTGGCGGCCCTGCTGGGGGCTGCGGTGGCCTCAGGCCTCACCACGCTCATTCTCATCCTGGTGGAGGCCACCAGCATCCTCCTGCCTGCAGACACCAAGGTAGGCGCCAGGCCCTGAGCAGGGGGAGGTGGGGCTGGGTGGATGCCGGCTGGTCCACGCCCTCCTGACCTTGCTGTCACCCTCAGTTTGGGGTCGTGTTTGACGCCGGGTCCTCCCACACGTCCCTCTTTGTGTACCAGTGGCCGGCAGACAAGGAGAATAACACAGGTGTGGTCAGCCAGGCCCTGGCCTGCCAGGTGAAAGGTTAGTAGGCAGCTAGGCCAGCGGTGGGAGGGCTGGACTCCAAGCTAGGCCAGCGGTGGGAGGGCTAGACGGGAGTCCCCGCCGGGGGCGGCTCTGGGGGTGGCACGGCTGGAGTGAGGTGGGAGCAACACTTAAACCCTTAGCATATCAGCCAATCGGCCTAAAGGAAACGCGGCTCAGAGAGGTTGAATGACTTACCCCAGGTGGCCCAGCTGACCAAGGAGGTCCTGGACCAGGGTCTGCGTGTGCCTGCACAGCCCTTGCTGCCTCTTCCATCTTCAGGAGGCTCCGGGCATTCCCGGGCTCACGGTCCTGTCACCCCAACCTCTCGCTCCAGTGCTGCGCAGCCTTCTTCCTCGAGTGTCTCAACGCCTCCTCTCCTCTCTCACGAAGGCCCGGGGCCGTCGAATTTAGGGCCCACCCGGGGAATCCAGGTTGAGCTCATCTCAAGATCCTTAACTTAATTACATCTGCAGAGACCTGTTTTCCGAACAAGATCCCACTCAAAGGTCCCAGTGGCGAGGGCGTGCTCATATCTCCTGGGGGGACATGGTCCCTGGCACTGCGGGCCCTCCCAGCCCAGCCGGCCCTCAGGCCTGGAGCTGCGTCCTGTGATGCTGTGTTTCAGGGCCTGGAATCTCCTCCTATGCCTCGGATCCCACCCAGGCTGGCGAGAGCCTGGAGGACTGCCTGGAGGAGGCAGTGGCACTGGTCCCGGAGGATCGGCGTCGGGAAACGCCCCTGTTCCTTGGGGCCACAGCTGGCATGAGGCTGCTCAGGTGAGGTGGGCTGGCTGGGGGCATGTCCAGGAGGAGCAGCTGGGAGAACGGTGGTATGGACACCTTGGGCCGGTGGGCAGGGTGGCGGGCTGTGGGTATCCCACCAGCTTTGGCAACCGGCCCTTTCTGCCCAGCCAGAAGAACAGCTCCCAGGTGGGAGACATCCTCGCGGCGATCAGTCGGGTCCTGGGCCGGTCTCCCCTGGACTTCTGGGGTGCTGAGCTCCTGGCTGGGCGGGATGAAGGTGCCTTAGGTTGGATTACCATCAACTACGTCCTGGGCGTGCTGGTCAAGGTGCCACGGGCAGCCTGCGGTGGGGGCTGGGTGACGAGGGGCTGCGGGTCCATGAGGCTGGTTTCAGGACTCGGTGCTACCTGTCTGTCCTCAGTATTCCTTCTCTGGAGAATGGATCCGGCCTCTGGAGGGGCCCCTGGTGGGCGCCCTGGACATGGGTGGGGCCTCCACCCAGATCACCTTTGTGCCCGGAGGCCCTATACTGGACAAGAGCACCCAGGCCACCTTCCGCCTCTACGGCTCTGAGCACAGCGTCTACACCCACAGCTACCTCTGTTTCGGGCGTGACCAGATGCTGACCAGGCTCCTGGCTCAGCTGCTGCAGGTCAGCTGGGCCCCAGAGGAGGGAGAGGGGCGGTGAGGTGCCTGTGGCCCTGAGCTGGGCTCAAGGCCCCCTCCCTGTCCTCCCGCAGAGCAGCCCCGGCCCCCTGATCCGCCATCCGTGCTACCACAGTGGCTACTGGGCCACGCTGTCCCCAGCAACCCTGTATGAGTCACCCTGTGTCCACACCACACCCCCACCAGGCCTGGCCTGGAACCTCACTGTGGAGGGAACAGGGAACCCCGGGGCCTGCGTCTCTGCCATCCGGGGCCTCTTCAACTTCTCCAGCTGCGAGGGCCGAGGACACTGTGCCTTCAATGGGGTCTACCAGCCCCCTGTGCAGGGCCAGTTCTACGTGAGTGGGAGCCCTCTACACTGTCCTCCCCGGGATCCCAGGCCCCTGCCGGAGCCCCAGGGGCCTTATGCCAGGCAGGCCCAGGGCGAGCCCTGGATGGGTGGGGGACTCTGGGTTCCCAGGTGTCTGGGGGGGGGGGGGGAGACTTTGCCTGGTTGGTGCTGGGGCTCCTCTGACTCTGGCCAACCCGGGCATTGCCCCAGGGCAGGCACACCCAGCTTCCTTCCCCGCCCCCAGGCCTTCTCCAACTTCTACTACACCTTCCACTTCCTGAATGTGACCTCCAAGCAACCGCTGGCCACCGTCAACGCCACTGTCTGGGAGTTCTGCCAGAGGCCCTGGAAGCAGGTAGGTGGGTCCTGGGACCACCTGTCCCCACCAGCACCGTCCAGCACTCCGGGCTGCCGCTGCCCCAGGCACCGACCTCCGCAGGCAGGGCCTCGGCAGGACCCCACCCCGCGGGGTGGGGCCAGCAGGGCTGGGGGGATGCCGAGGGAAGGGAAGACCCAGGCAGGGGACCCAGGGCCCCATCCTTGGGTGGGACCTGCCTCTGGTGGGCCGGGAGAGGGGGCGTCACCTGGCTCCTTGCCTGCCGGGCCCCCAGGTAGAGGCAAGCTCGCCCGGGCAGGACCACTGGCTTCGTGACTACTGTGCTTCAGGCCTGTACATACTCACACTGCTGCTCGAGGGCTATGGGTTCAGTGAGGACACCTGGTCCAACATTGAGTTCCGGAAGCAGGTGACCACCTCTCGGGGTGAGGCCATCCGACGCAGGGCAAGGGGGGCGGTCCGGGACTCTGGGGCAGCGGCCACAGCCCTGACCGGCCTGCCTGTCCCACAGGTGGGCGGCACAGACATCGGCTGGACGCTGGGCTACATGCTGAACCTGACCAGCATGATCCCAGCCGAGCCGCCCGCCCTCTGGCAGGCAGAGAGCTACGGCGTGTGGGCGGCTGGAGTCGTCTTCGCCGTGCTGACTGTCGTGGCTACCCTCGGGGCCGCCGCCGTCCACCTCCTCTGGCTCCGGGGCTGAGTTGGGCTGCCCCCTGGCACTGGTGGGGCGCGGGGGTGGGGGGCTGCCCCAGCCTGGACGGCTGCACGGGCCAGAGCCTTCCCGTGAGCCCTGCCGGGTCTCCCTGTGTCATGGGCTCTGGCCCCCTGGTCAGATGGCCCCACCCAGCCCTCAGGGTCACTCTGGCCAAGTGGGCTGTATTGTGGCCTCCCCATCCTGGCCCCCCGGGTTCCCTTCTCCACCGCGCTTCCCAGGACAGCAGGTGACTTCCTGCACAAACGCTGGGACACAGGGCCCTGCAGCACTCAGGGCTGTGCCATCTGTGGTGTTGTGGGACGTGAAGCTGCTCAAGCCCGGAACGGGGAGTGACTGCGGGAACAAGAAAGGCTCCGGCTCCCTGGGAGAGGCCGACCGTGGGGGTCTTGGAGCGGCAGAGCTGGCGGGACCCCTGCTGTTTCCCGGCCTGAGGGACAGTCTCCGGGCTCCGTGGCTTCTCCTGGAGTGGCAGCCCCACCCCTACCCTGGAATCCTTTGTCAGCAAGCCCGGATTACAGACCACACCTTCGTGGGGTTGGGGAGACCGCTTTATTAAAACCCTCCTGGCCCTGGGACGGCTGATTCCTTCACTGGGGCTCCACGCGGGATGTCGGGCTCCTCACACGTCCTGTCCAGCTGGGACCACAAAGCACTTGGGGAAGATGCCGACGCGGCCGTTACAGTGACCCTCCAGCCAGGCCTGGTCCACTGTGTGTGAGAGGGTCAGGGTCCCTCAGAGCGCGTCAGGCAGTGTGAGCTCACGCGATCTCCTCATGCCCCAGCGGCCCACTGACCTTCACACAGCACGTCCACGACGTCCCCCCGCTGCAGGGCCAGGTCCTCGGGCCCCCGGGCACAGTAGCTGTGCTGGGCCACCACCTGGTAGAGGGCAGCTCGGCTACCTGCTCCCTGTGGCTGGAGGAGGGGGCACAGGGTGGGCAGGGCTAGAGAAGGGCCCTGGGGTCCCTCGTGCCACCCCCCGGCCACCCACACCCTCCCGAGGCTCACCCGGCACTGAAGCTGCAGGGCCCCAGCGCTGGCCCCCGAGTCCCTCCAGGCCCTCTGCAGCGCCTCCTCCCCAGGGAGGGGGACCCAGCGCCCCTTGTTGCTGGGGTCTTGGTAACTGCAAAGAGACTCCTCAGAGTGGCATCGAGTGGGCGGGGTGTGCTCCTGGCAGGCGCTGACCTCTGACGTCTGCAGGGCCGCCCCTGGCCTGCCTGCTCACCTGAGCTGCGCACGCTGGGCCTGGTGACCGAGGGCTTGGCTCAGCAGGCCCCGCAGGCCGGCCAGGTCCACTCCTCTCGGGACCCTCAGGGCCAGGGTGAAGGCACACTGCACAGTGACGGTCACCAAGGACGCAGGTTCCTCCATGGCCGCTCCCTGGGGCAGAGCAGCAAGGCAGTGGTCGGTCATGAAGCCCCAGCTCTGCATGCCCAGGGACCGGCTGGGGTGGCCTTTGAGCCACGAGGGTGGGAGGGGCTAGGGTTCCCAGGGCCTAGTCTCTGGGCCCCAAATCCCTGAAAAGTGGGGGTGACATGAAGGCCTGTTCCTCTTACCCCAGCACCCAAGGGATCCTCTGAAGGGTGGGGGTTCTGGTCCCCTGGCCACCGGCAGCCCTGTGGAGGATGACAGAGCAGGGGCTCAGGTGGCCCACACCCTGGCTGGGAGGCCCAAGGTAGCCAGCGGCCTCCCTCGGGGGCAAAGAGGCTGCTCCCAGCTCCCCAGACGCCTGCCCAGGACTCCCACCACCACGGCCTCTGCCCACCACCTGCGGCTCAGGGGGTCCTTACGTGGAGGAACCTGTCTGCCGACCTGCTCCACACGGGGCCTCTGCAGGAAAAGCCACAGGCTGGGAATGGGGGCCAGGGGTGCAGGCCCCTGAGGTCCAGGCAGCTTTCCCTGGCCTGGGGCTTGCTGCAGCAGACCCAGTGGTGAGGTGTGTGGCCGGGGAGTCAGCTGGTCAGCAGGAAGCCGTAGGTACAAGCTGGATGGGGGTGTGTTCAGGGCAGGAACCAGGTCCCCACAGGCCTGGAGCCCATACTGCCCGGTGGGGGTGTCCTCCCAGCACTATGGCCCCTGCACCCCCCACACACACCGGGCCTGGGCTCTCTCACCCACCCACCCACTCACTCACCTGTGCCCCCCATCCAGAGCCGACCTCTGTCTCTGCCTCAGGAGCCATCCTGGGACCGCAGGGTCTGGCCGTTCTGCACTGGCCTGAGCCTCTGGCCCTGGGGGGCAGGGGGAGCCCTCATTGTCAGGAATGGCCCAGCTTGTACTTGTTCCCCCCAACACAGCCTGAGAGGAACCCCAAGTGTGGAGATGAGGGGCCGTGGCCCTGGGTGGGGGCCTGCTCGATGTCCCCACACCTTGTGTGACATTGAGCTGGGATGGCCCCACCTGGGAGGGTCCAGTTTGGCAATGCCGGCCCACAACCCAGCAGCACCCTCCTCGAGCCCCTCGGTTCTAAGCCTCGGTGCTGTGTGGGGTCGTGGCGACCTGACGTCTCAACTCCCCTCTGGTGCCCACCGAGGCCTTAGTGGCGGTTTTGTGGGAAGGGGGCACAGGGCTCTTCGTCCTGCAGCAGGACAGGCTCCAGACAGAATAAACCCAGGGCCTCTGGACAGAGGGGGTGCGGGGAGGGCTGAGAGAGGCTCTTCCCTGGCCTCAGGGGCCACGATGCAGGCCTTACTCCTGCCCCAACCAGAGAGACACGCATGCGGAGATGAGACCCACTCCTTCCTACCGTGGGGCAGCTCCAGGTCTGCCTTCGCCGTCCACACCCCGAACCTGTGGCACAGAACAGCACGCTCTCTCAGGAGGCAGGTCCCCAGGGGCAGCGCCAGGGCAGGGAGCCCCAGCACTGCCTTCCCTGGGTGAGACTCTCACACTCAACAGGCCTGCCACTCCCAACTTTAGATCAGAGGGATGTTGGGGAGCCCCTGAGGGCTCAGGGCAACTCCCTCCCTTCACAGGACAAAGGTCTGAAATGCCCAGGCCTGCAAATGACAGGTGAGAAGTCTGGGCTGGCTGGGAGGCGACCCGCCCACCTGGGGCTGCCGAGGCTGGCTGTCCTCATGTTGGTCGTCGGGGATGGCAGAGGAGACCACCTGGTGAGGGACAGCAGAGGGACAGCTGAGCTAGGGGCCCTGCAATGCCCACTCCCAGCCCCTGCTGCCCACACCACACTCCTGAGGGGCCCATCTGCCGGGGACTGGGGGGGCTGCCCACGCCTGACCGAGGGCTGTCAGACCACCACAGTGGGTGCTGGAAGGTAGAAAAAATGCGTCTCATCAAGAAAAATCCCTGTGCTGACAGTTTTAAAAAATTTTTTGAAGATTTTATTTGTGTATTTCTTGGAGAGAAAGAGAAAGCGTGCGCATAAGCACAAGCAAGAGCAGAGACAGAGGGAGAAGCAGGCTCCCTGTTGGGCAAAGAGCCCGATGCAGGACTCGATTCAGGACCCTGGGATCCCGACCCAAGCAGAAGGCATCCGCATAACCAAATGAGCCACCCACGCGCCTCTTAACTTATTTTTAATACAACTTTTTAAATGTCTTTACTTCCTAGAAGTTTGAACTGTGACAAACCCTAAACTCACAGATGCATGCAGCTCAGAGCCGCCAGGCCCCTGCCAGCGATGTCTGCAAGGCCCAGGTGTTTGGGGCACATGACCTCACCAGCCCTGTACCTGGTCACACCAGCGCGTGGGCCCTTGGTGACCTCGGTGGGTACTGAGGCTAACTCAAGGGCCACCAGCTTGGAACCCAGGTGAATTTTCCTTTGTGAGCCCTGGAGTCACTTCCTTGAACTCCAGCCCTACTCCCCAGTGTTCTGTGATTTTGGTGGTGCTGCCTGGCCCTGGCCAGCCGACCTCGGCCCTCACTGGGATCTCACTCTCTGGAGCATAGATGCAGGGAGACAAAGAGACAGAAAAGCACAGGGAGAAACTGAGGCCAGAAGAGTGTGGCTGAGGTGGATCGGGGGGGGGGGGGGGGGAGCACTGCCGAAAAGCCATGAGCTCCCTTGTCTGCAGCCAGCCTCTGCTGGGGGCTCTGCCTCCCGGTTCCGAGAGCCCAGGATGTGTGAGCTCCACTTGGAGACACGGCTCCTGACCCAAGAAGCTCAGGCACTCTGCCGTTTGGGGGGTGGCCCCGGGCCCACTCTCCTCCCACCCACCGAAGCCCTTGTAACAACACAGACCACACCGCGTGTGCCCCTGTGAGCTCGGCGCCTGCTGGCTGCTGCTGGCCCCAAGCTCCTGCCGCAGGAGGTGAGAGGCCGCCCCTTACCTTGGCCTTGCCCAGGAAATCCACTGGTTCCAGATGCTCCAGGTGCCGCCTGTGGGGCCGAAAGACCTCACCCCTGGGGACCTGCCGAGGCTGCAGGGGGACCTGCTTCTGGAGGGGGTCCAGCCAACGGAGACCTGAGCATCTGACCAGGGCTGTGGCCTCAGGGACCCTCCACCTACTTCTCAGGGGACCTGGGAAGTCCTTCCCCAGCCCCCACACCCAGGCACACGGGCCACCTCCCTCTAGAAAATCCTTCATCGCGTGGACTGGGCCTTGGGAGCCTGTGCAGATGGGATCCCGGGACTGTGGGCTACGCGCCCAACAGCGCTCACGGGTGGGGCGGCCTGTTCTCCCCCTGCCCCCCTCACCTGCAGCTGGCCCAGGGCGGCGTGCAGATCATCGCCGGCCCCCTCCAGCCCCTTCGAGAGGGCTTCCTCTAGGCTGCGGGTGGCCTCAGCCCAGAGTCCCAGCCGGCACTGTGCGGCTCCCACGTTGAAGAGCACCTGGAAAGGAGGTGGGATATGACAGCCTCACTTAGCTCCCCTCCACCGGCCGCACCCCTGGTCCCACCCCTACATCAGCCCTTCAAGCCTCAACCTCCCCCTCTGCCCTCCACCCCTCGCCTGCCTCTGATCCGGATTCCAAACTAGGCCGCGCCCCCAGTCCCACACCAGGTCCCACTGCTGGCTCCGCCCCCAACCCCACGACCTGGGCCCGCTTCCAGTCTCGTCCTGGGCCCATTTCCTGGCCCCGCCCCCAACCCCTCCTGAACCTCCTTCCAGCCCCGCCCCGCCCCCCTCCTGGCCCCGCCCCGCCCCCCTCTCCTGGCCCCGCCCCCAACCCTTCCTGAACCTCCTTCCAGTCCCGCCCCCCTCCAACCCTCTCCTGGCCCCGCCCCTGCCCCACCTGGCCGCGCCCGACCCCGCCCCCAGCCCACTCTCGGGACCCGTCGCGCCTCAAGCACCGCCCCCACCCCGGGGCCCTTGGGGAGGGAGCCCCGGCTGAAGAGGCTGCGGCCGGGCTCGGCCGCGACAGGCGGCCGTCACGCGGGCGCGGGCTCTGCTGGCAGCCTCACTGTCCAGGTCCCTGCTGGAGCGGCTCGTCGCTCTGGCGCTTCTCGGCCCCCTACGTCGGGGGCAGAAGTGCGCGCTCTGCGACCGTCCTCCCCGCCCGCCTCACCCCCTTTCCGCATCCGGCCTGACCCCTTTTGCGGCCCCTTCCACGGCGTGCGGCCCTGCTCAGTGCCCTGCTCTGGGTGCTGTCCCAAGAGCCCTTTCTCCGTCCTGTCCCCTCCCTCACACCCACAGCGAGAAAAGACGGGCTGGCTTAAGGCCGTCGCCGGCGGGACGCGCTGGGGGCAGAAGCGAAGGTGCCCGGTGCCCCTGGGAGCCGCCCCGGCCCGCTGACCCCTCCAATGCTGCGGGGACAGCGGGTGCTCGGCCGACTCGGCCTCCGACAAGAGAACCAAGCCGCTCTTCCCGCGGCGTCTGTCCCCATGGCCTGCCAGGGGACACCACACTCCCAGAGCCGGGGGGCCACCCTCTGGAGTAATGGGGTAATGGGGTGTCTCAGGCCAGAGGGAGCATATCAGTCAATATGGCCCCGCCTGTGACAGTAACAAGACAATGGGACCCAGAGGGCGAGGCCTAAAGGGGCACCTGGGCCTTCTGCCCCCAGACAGCACCCCGAGGGCCCCCAGCTGGTTCCCCGCCTTGGAGGCCAGCTCCCTGCACAAGTGTGGCGCGAGCTTACCTCCCAGGCCTTCAGCTTGAACCGCAGGCCCAGCTGCGTGTAGTCGATGGTGGTGTTACCCCTGAGCTGAGCCAGGGCCAGCTGGAAGTCAGTCAGGGCCTCCTGGAACCTGCAGGCAGTGGGGGGTGGGGGGAGAGCTCAGCGGCTGTAGGGAAAGGGCCAAGCCCTGCCCCAGCCTGCCCCCCCACCCCCCACCCCCAGCTCCATGGACACCTGCTAGGGGGCAGTGGTGGCCACCCAGATCCTAGCACATAGTAGGCACTCAAGTCCCAACCAACCGGTCAAGTATCCATCAAGAGATGTGACTGTGGGAGGTGGAGAGGGCACCACACCTGAGGTGTGAGGTGACACCAGCTCTGATCCAGCTCTGCCTTCTGGAAACTGACTCCCTGCCTGGAGCCCCTGTCCACATCCCAGACCCTCTTCCAGTCCTGGCTGTGTAGAGAGCCCTGAGCACTTCCCTCCTGCTTCTCAGGACTCCCGTTCCCTGCGGGCCTCCCTCTGCAGAGACCTGCCGGAAGCTCCTCAGCCCCCACTGGACTCCCCATCTCGCGCAAGGAGGGACCCCCAGAGTAGGCCTGCTGGGCATGGAGCCATCTGTGGGGCTTGTCCTGGGGGCTAGGTGGGGGAGGGGCAAGATGAGCTTGTCCTGCAGAATGTTTCCTTCTCTGGGAAGGACCACAGTGCAAAGAGCCCAGGCAAGCATTGAGGATCCCAACCACCTCTGTGTCCCGGGACACACCCTTCCTGCAGCCCTGCTCTCGGTTTCCCCATCTGCAGAATGGGTGTAATCACACCATCCCTCCTACAGAAAAAAAAAAAATGATGAGGAACAGAGGAAGGGATGCCCATGAAAGCACTCAGAACCTCAGCATAGAGACAAGCCTCCTCATGTGGCCCTGCCTGTGTCCTGCTCCAGCACGAGCACAGTACCCTCTCCAGGCTTCCCTGGGGCTGCAGAGGAGGCGGTTGGCAAGAAGAGGTGACCCATGGGGAGAGAGAGGGAGGAGGAGCCTAAGAATGGACTTTGCAGAGAAAAAGGGCCGTCAGAGAAGAAACAAGGCACCCCTGTGCTCACCTCTCCAGCTGGAAGTTGGCCACTCCTCGCTGGAAAAAGCCAACAGCCAGGCAGGCGTCCTTGGTCACTGCTTGGTCAAGTGCCTGGGGACAGAAATGCCCATAGATTGCCAAGGTCTGCAATTCTATCACTCCTGTGTCACAGACACTGTCCAGGCAGATGACCAGTAGCCGGGGGCCAAGGAATTCCATAGGCCCCAGGACAGCCAGCTGCGGATAGAAGTTTCCTGCCCTGGTCCTGGGGCCCCCAGAGCTTGTGCCTGGGCACCTGTATCACCATTCAGTCTCCCTTGGTGCCACAACCAGAATAAGCCTGAGTTCCCGAAGTGCAAAGAGCACAGTGAGGTGTTGTCCCAAAGCAACCTGTCTGCCATGAGGATGAGGGGAAACGACAGCACATTAATAAGTTACCTCTGGGGCACGGATTACGTAAGATTTTTGCCTTTTTAAAATCCTATTTCTGATCATTCATACAGAATGACACACTTCTTATCTATTAGAATCAGAAAATGGGTGCCTGGGGGGTTGAGTTGGTTAAGCATCTGCTTTGGGGTCAGGTCATGATCCTGGGGTCCTGGGATCGAGTCCTGTCAGGCTCAGTGGGGAGTGGGCTTCTCCCTCTTCCTCTGTCTCTTCCCCCCTGCTCATGTTCTCTCTCTATCAAATAAATAAATAAAACCTTTTAAAAAGTATTAGAAGAAGAACACAAAAGTCTTAGTATGTGTGTAAAGTACAGCTTTTCCCTTAACTTCATTCAAACACAGTCTGTCGACCATCAGTTAAACATGGGTAACAGGAGGGGCACCACAGTCTTAAAATCTGGGCAAACGGGTGGGTTCCTGCAGAGCTGGAATTGACCTAAGGTTGAAGGTACACGTGGAGGCACTGATGTGGGGGGGGCACTCAGTGCCAGAAAGACCCATTTGTTTGCTACCTTACCACACAGAACAGCCAAGTCAAGGTCACATAGGGTTCTTACCAATAGACTACGGCTCTGGCTAGAGCCCTGCTCACCCTGCCCTGCTCCTCAGAGAGTTTTATTAAGCGTAGCTGTTCCACCTGCTTTTAGAAATCTCCATATTTCTGGCTAATGTGCCCATGCTATTACTTAATTTTATTGACTTTGGACAGTCTTCCCTCTTCTCTTAGGGTCAAGGATTTAATACCATATTCTTCTGCTCACCACCTCTGTCCCCTCTAAAGTTAAATCACAGTTTATAGGGGCACCTGGGTGGCTCAGTGGGTTAAAGCCTCTGCCTTCTGTTCAGGTCATGATCCCAGGGTCCTGGGATCAAGCCCCGAGTGGGGATCTCTGCTCCGCGGGGAGCCTGTTCCCCACCCCATCCCCGCCCTCTCTGCCTGCCTCTCTGCCTACTTGTGGTCTCTGTCAAATAAATAAATAAAATCTTAAAAAAAAAAAACTTAAATTGTTACTGAGAATTGTAGATTCATATGCAGACGCAAGAAAGGACAGAGGAGCTCCTTTGTACCCTTTACCCAGTATGCCCCACCCCCACTCCCGTGGTCAGGTTTTGCAAGATGCTGATATTGATGCTCTCCTACAACATCTAATTCTCTTTGCATTTGTGTCATTTTCCAGGTAGCTGCCTGATCATCTCAAACACTGCGGGATCCTGGTTCCTTCTGTTGGAGGCATTTGGGGATTGGGGAGATAAGCCGGGGGCTGCTGCATTTTTGTATGCACCTGGGGAATGTGCATCACTTTAAAGAATGCGAAGTGTTTGAAGGGAAGAGAGTGGTTCTGTGCTGCCCTCTCAGCAGAGGAGCTGTGTGTTCACGCCCACATGCACTCTTGAACTCCTGGTTCTGTTTTGGGGAACAGACTGGGAAAAAGGTGAGTTCTTAGATCTGGGGTCTGGGTACCAGCCAGAGAGACCACATCTCCTTCCCATTGCCACAGGTGTCTGATGAAGTCCCTTGCTCTAAACTCTACACCCTGGGAGGCAGCAAGCCCCTTGCAAGCAGGATCCAGCCTCCAGCCGATCTCTAGGTATCAGCACGATGAGCGCCTGAGCCAGCAGCACCCCAGTCCTTCCCCATGACCACAGAGTCTGAAACAGGGTCACCATCTCGAGGAGATAGCGAGGGAGGCCGCCCCCCCATCATGCCCCGAGTTCAGGGTGGGGTCCCCCAACTGCACAGCTCCTACCTGCCTTCGGTGTCCACTGAGGCAGAACACGGTGGAGGGGGGCATCCCCAGATGACCCTCAGGAAGAAGGGACCCGGGGCCCACCCCGGCGGCTGGGTCTATCGCACGGTAAGTACGGTTCCCCAGAGCCACTCCCCAAAGGGTGGGGTCTCTTCGACCAACCCTGGGGGCCGGGCTGTCGGGCCCCTGGCTCACCCGCAGCGCGGCCTCCGGGTCCCCGGCCAGCAGGTGCACGCAGCCCACGTTGAAGCACATCCTGGCGGGCGGCTCCGGGTCACCCGAGAAGAGGCGGAGGGCGCAGCCCCAGTCCCCGCGCTCCACAGCCTGCACGCCCCGGTGCCAGTCGCGCACCAGGTCTCCCCGAGAGGGCATGGCGGCGCGGACACCGGCCGGACCGTGTCTGCTTCCGGGCCGGAGCGCGGCGGGCGAGGCCGACGGCGGTAGGGGTCCCCTGAGGGGTCCGGCGGGACCACCGGGGGCCGAGAGCCCGGAGGCCCGCGTGGGGATGTGGGCCCCCCGCCCCTCGGAGGCCAGGAAAGGGTCCGGACAGAGGGGGCGCTCGGTTGGAGCGCGTGGACTCCGCGAGCCGCAGGTGTGCCACGCCTCCTGCCGCCCCACGGCGCCCCCTGGCGGCGGAGCGATCCCGCCCCGGAGTCGGCTCTGCCCCGCCCACAGGCCCCGCCCCCACGGTGACCGCCCCCGCGACATCCGGCCCCGCCCCTTCCCCCGCTTCCGCCGCGCCCCACGGGACTTCCGCCGGGAGCTCCGGGAGTTGGCCTTTCCCCCTCCCGCAGCGCCTCGGGCCGAGCGGGTCTCGGTGCGTCGGGGAAAGACGGCCGGGCCCGCCGTTGCCGCTGCTGCCGAGGCCGGGCCAGGGTTCCGGGAGGACCCCACGGGCTCAGGTGAGCGACTGCCGGGGCGCGGGCCGCGGGGGGCGGCCGCGGGGGTCCCCCGGGACGCCGGTGGGCAGGGCAGGGCGAGGCCGGCAGGACTGTGGGCGCCCGGCCCGGGCTGTGCCCTGCAGCCGCGGTGGCCCCGAGGACCTCCTGCCCCGAGAGCGTGGAAGCTCCGAGAGCCGCGTGCCCGAGCCCTCCCTGGAGGTCCGAGTGGCCGGGGCCTCGGCCTTCCCCGCTGACACCCCGTGCGCGTCCTGCCTGCGCTGGTCACGCTCCCGGCCCCGCTGACACCCCGTGCGCGTCCTGCCTGCGCTGGTCACGCTCCCGGCCCCGCTGACACCCCGTGTGCGTCCTGCCCGTGCTGGTCACAGCTCTCGGCAGAACAGACCCGGCAGGTGCATTAGCAGGTGCGCAGAGATGGACAGCCTGGGAGCGGGTCCCCAGTCCAGACCCAGGGCGAGCCCCTGCTGCCCTGCAGGCGGGCATACAGTTCCTCCTGTAGTGACTTCAGGCCCTCAGCGCCCTCCTCCGCCCTCACCTCCAGTCCTGGTGCCGTGGTAGAAAGGGTCGTGGGCTTCCAACAAGTTTGCCGTTGCATGTGTTAATGTCATAAAAGACTTTCCGCGCCTGGGGTCTCAGTCGACTCCAGCTCTTGATTTCCCCGCAGGTGGTGATCTCAGGGTCCTGGGGTGGAGTCCCACCTGGGGCTCCATGCTGAGCAGGAGTCTGCCTCCTCTCCCTCTGCCCCTCCATCCCCCCCCATATTCTTGCCTTGTCTCTCTCTCTCTCTCAATTCAATAAATAATACTTTCCCAGCAACCTGTGACTGTTTGACCAACTATGTGGGCCCCTGGCCTTGCCAGGGTGACACATGAAATGAGCCATCACAGCCCCAGCCCCAGAAACGCTCCCAGAGACAGGCTCTGCCCTTTTATTTACATACAAGAACGTGCAGGGGACGGCTTGTGTCCTTTGCGGTATCAGCTGGAGCTCAGCTGTGATCGCAACCTGGCTGGCCTTCTTTGTTGGCCACCTTCTTCCCCAGTGGGCCTGTGGGTCCTGGGACCTGGGAGCCACTCTGCTCGCTTCTGGCCGCGTCTCCTCCCTGTGTCACCGGGACCAGCTCTCTGACCCTGCAGGCTTCCTTAGCTAAGGAACAGGGGTGCTGAGTGCTGGCTTGGCGCACCTGTCAGGGCTCACGCCTGTGGCATGCCTGGGACGGCAGCTTCCTCAGTAAACGTCTGGGAGCCTCTGCTCTGAGGACCAGCTTCACCCCCAGTGGGGCCTGGGTTTCCTGACCTGCTGGCCTGGAGGTGTCTGGGTACCCAGGGTGGGATCCTGTCCTTCCCGAATCCCCCCACGTGGGCATCCCTCCCACTCCCCACTCCTCATCCTCCACACCTTCCTGACAACATTTGCTCGGGGCCAGTCCTGCAGCCCTGCTCGGCCCTTCTCAGCCCACCGGCCCACCCTCCCGCCTGGGGCTCCTCGGTGTTGACAGCTGCAACCCCCACTTCCCACCCATCCTGGCAGCTCACAGCTTTGACCTGATACCCCCGCACCACCCACAGCTCCAGTCCCATTCCCTTCATCGGGGCTGCAGGAGCCTGGCCCAAGTGCCGGGTCTCTTTCCGTCCTCAACACGCGCCTCAGGTGGGTCTACTGACTCCCTCCTCCTGTGTCCTCAGCCCCACTCTGCCCTGTCCTGCCCCGCAGCCTAGGACCTGGCTGCCTGCTTCCAGAGAAAATGGAAGCAGCTGGAAGGGACACCCCCCCGCTCCGGGTCTACACCCACAGATCTGTCTCCTCCCCCACCCCATCATTATTTCTGCTTGCTAGGGTCAGCCTATCAACATACTGTGATTCTGTCCATCTTAAACCCCTTCTCGAGCTCTCCCCCCATTTCTTTACCCCCATGTGCTGCAGGATTGCCTCCAAGGGTTCTCAGTGTGTTAGCGCTTTTACTGTGCACTTTTTAGGAACTGAGATGTAATTCAGGTATCAGCAAATCCAGTCCTCAGGGGTGCAGGTCACTGTTTTTCCGTGTGCGCAGTGTTGTGCAGCCAAACCCGATGATTCTAGAGTGCTTCCTCACGGTCGCTGGATGCTGGCGCCGCCGCCCCAGCCCCTGGCAGCTGCCGGTCCTGTCTTTATGGGCTAGCGGCTTCGGGGCGTTGGTGTGAACGGCCCCGCACGGCACACCGACTCTGCGTCTGGCTTCTCGCTCAGCGTCATTTTTTTTTGAGGTTCATTCGTGGCGCAGCCTGTGTCAGAATTTTGTTCCTTTTTAAGACCAGTAACGTTCCATTGCAGGGACGGCCCTGCTTTGTGTACCCGTCCACCCACTGATGGGCAGCAGCCACATTTTGGCTACCACGAAAAATGCTTCTGTGAACATCTGTGTATGAGTTCTGTGCGGACGTGTTCTCAGTTCTCTTGGGTACATACCTGCGAGCGGGGCCGCTGGCTTCTGCCATCACTCCGTTGAACCTTGTTCCAGAGGCTGCCTTGGCCCCATTTCCATCATGCTGTGGCCCCTGAGCCAGCTCCAGGCGGCCTTCCCACTGCTGCTGTACCCAAAGGCTTGTCAGGGTCACCAGCAGCCTCCCCTGGGCCTGGGGCCCTGGGCCTGGCCCGTCCTCCCCACTCAGCCCTGACCTCTAGGATGTGACCTCCTTTGGGTCCCCTCTGCCCAGGGTCACCAGCAGCCTCCCCTGGGCCTGGGGCCCTGGGCCTGGCCCGTCCTCCCCGACTCAGCCCTGACCTCCAGGATGTGACCTCCTCTGGGTCCCCTCTGCCCCTGTCTGGCCCTCCTGTCTCCCCTAGGGCTCTGTCCTCACTTCCCTGTGCACTCCCTGCCTGGTGCTCCCATAGTTGGAGTGACCGCTGGGGTGTCTGCTGCATCTGCTCTTAGACTGGCTTTATTTCCCTAACAGGAGGGTGGAGGCAGCCCACCCCCATCACCTCTGTCACTGGATGCTCTGGGCCGTGTCACCTCTGTCACCCCAGACGTCCCCATGTGGAGGACGCTCCGCGGACGATGAGTACAGGGCCCACGGGCCTCGGGAGCAGCAGGGTGAGAGAAGGTCACATACTCTGACTCCGTTCATGTAACCTTCTTAAATGACAAGTTGTATCAATGGAGAACAGATGCGCGGCCGCCTGGGGCCACTGACAGATTAACGCCGTGAACGGCAACACTGCGGGGTCCCAAGGGCAGGCGCTCTGGGTTGCGGCGGGATCCACGTCAGGCCCTGCTTGTGACGTTGACTACGGTGACACCTGAGAGACCGCATAGAGCGCATATGGGGCAGCCCTTCTCTCTCCCAAGTGCGTGTATCTATCTCCAGTTATCTCAGAATAAGTGTCTAAAACCTTTTTTTTTTCAATTTTATTTATTTATTTGACAGACAGAGACCACAAGCAGGAGGGGGGGCGGGGAGCAGGCTCCCCGCTGAGCAGAGAGCCCGATGCGGGGCTCGATCCCAGGACCCTGAGATCATGACCTGAGCCGAAGGCAGAGGCTTAACGGACTGAGCCACCAGGCACCCTGTTTAAAACCATTTTTAAAAAGGAAGGTTTCAGTGATAGGTTTTTCTACTTAACGGACGTCCTGAAGGTTGAAATGATTAATGAGCCTAAGATTCTTCCAGCTCTGAAATTCAGCTGGTTAAAGGTTGTGCAGAAAACTTCCTTCTGTCTGAGCTAAAATCTGTTCCCAGGCAGGCGTTGAGGCGTCTGGAGTGGCGCAGCCCATGGCCGACCTGAAGCTAGCCTTCACAGACGGGCGGCCCGCTGTCCTGAGGGAGGGTGACCACATCAGCACTCTGGGGAGGCCCGCCAGGACCGTGAGGATCCCACAGTTGCTCCATCAGTGGAAGAGTCCAGAAAAGGGAGCCATTTCTAAGGTAGGACTGTGACTCAGCTAGCGGTCAGCGTAGTGCTGGAACTTATTTTTACTTTCTTTCTCTCTCTTTTTTTTTTTTTTTAAGATTTTATTTATTTACTATTTGACAGATCACAAGTAGGCAGAGAGGCAGGCAGAGAGAGAGAGAGAGAGAGGAAGGGAAGCAGGCTCCCCACTGAGCAGAGAGCCCGATGTGGGGCTCGATCCCAGGACCCTGGGATCATGACCTGAGCTGAAGGCAGAGGCTTTATCCCACTGAGCCCCCCAGGCACCCCTGGAACTTATTTTTCAAGGAATGTAATAGTTGTGGTTCATTCTGGAGCACAGATGTCAAAGACATGGCAGGAATTGGGTTTAGCCAATGCAAAGAAGTGTGTGGGTTTTGTTTTTTTTTTTTCTTTTTAAACAACAGGCACTTTCAAAGAAAAAATAAAATCAAAATAAGATTTTTCTCTCAGGAAATAAAAATAACCTTGGTGTGATGGAAATGCTTGGTGTTGGAGACCAGCTTCCGGAGGCCTGGCCCCGACTGGGGCTGTGTCTGATTGAGGGCCACGGAGCGCGTTCCGTGGAGGGTTCCGTGGGGAGGCGCCTGTCAGCCACAGCTCTGAAACCCACCGCCACAGCCGTTTCATAGGCTGCTGACCGTTCACTCGGGCGCTCATACCTCTGCCACCCCAGGGAATCTTCGAGAGGAAAACCAGAAGGACACAGAAGGCAGCTGTGCAAACAGGAAGCGGCCCACAATTCATCCCCTTTCAGGTTCAGAGCTGGGACTGTAACCCTGGGAAAATTTTAGCGCACCTCTGCAGACCTCTGTGGTGGTCAGGGGCTTCCTCCTCCGTGGGCACTGGGCCAGCAGCGCCCGCCCCTCTGCTCTCCCGGACCCAAGCCAGCACCGGTTACCTGGTCTTGCAGCTTTGATTGGAGGAACATGTTGCTGCTGGTCCCTGAGCTCCATTTCTACACGCAGCCCTTCCAAAGTGGGTGTCTCTCTGGGCTAGGACCGGCAAGTCAGATACAAGACGGTCCCTCAGCTGTCCAGGGCCCTGCAGCGCAGCCACTCCGAGCGCCCGGGCCTGTCTCCGCGTGTGTGCTGCAGACCGCAGGGGAAGCCGGGAAGCCGGCCGGGCTGAGAACCTCAGAGCAGACCCACAGCCTCACGTGACGTCCGATGAAGCCAGTGAAACGGCGAAAAAGGGAGGAGTGCGTGTTGCTGAAGTGAAACATGCGGGGTGAGTCCTGAGTGCCAAGGAGAACCCGGACAGAAATAGTGGGTCATTTCCAAGGGAGGGAGAAGCAGGCCAACACAGCAGCTCTGGAGTTAGAAGGAAGCAGAGCATCTCTGAGGGACACACAAATCCCAGGAAGCCCGAATGCAGCCAGAGAGGGAGGAAATCGTGCCCAAAGAAGTAAAAAACAAATGGAAGAAACCAAAAGGCAGAAGAGGGAGTTGATAAAGAGAAAAGCTTAATTAATTAAGTAATTAAATCAGGAAGTATAGAATTAGTAAGACCGAAAAGTAGTCCTTTTTTTTTTGTTTTTTTTAAGATTTTGTTTATTTATTTGACAGAGAGAGTGTGAGCACAAGCAGGGGGAGGGGCAGAGGGAGAAGCCGACTCCCCGCTGAGCAGGGATCCTGATGCGGGGCTCGATCCCAGAACCGTGGGATCGTGACCTGAGCCGGAGGCAGATGCTTAACCCACTGAGCCCTCAGGTTTCCCTGAAAACTAGCTCTTAAAAAGACCAGTGAGGGGCGCCTAGGGGGCTCAGTCCGTGAAGCGTCTGCCTTCTGCTCAGGTCATGATCCTGGAGTCCCTGGATCGAATCCCGCATCAGGAGTCTGCTTCTCCCTCTGACCCTGCCCCCCTCATGCTTGCTCGCTCTCCTTCTCATTCTCTCAAATAAATAAACAAGATCTTAAAAAAAAAAGACCGATGAGACACACTTCTGAGGAGACTAAGGAAAAACAGGACCGGGGGAAACGACACTCAGTTTTAATGGAGGGGACCGCATATTTGCCCCATCTGCGGTGACACCGCGGTCACGGCGGGAAAACCTCCTCGAGAAGTGGGATGACTGCCCCGTAGTCCAGCCTATTCCAGCCGCCCGGCAGGAAACAGGAAATCGGAGCTGGGTGCCGAGCATCAGAGACCCACAGGCTGTCCGGCTCCAGCTGCACGGGTGGTGGGCGGCCCCCGGGCCCTGCTGAGCCTGGAGACAGCGCAGGCCCACCTTATTCTGGCTGCGACCCCCAGAGACCCCGAGCAGGACCCTGCGGTCAGGCCGCTTCCTGCACCTGACCCCGCGTGCGGGATGGTCAAGGGTCGTTCTGCTCTAAGCCACTGCGTTTGGGGCCACGCGTTTGACAGGAGCGTGTGGCCCCCGAGTGGTCAGCGCCACGGGTCGGATCGCGAGGGCAGAGCCGGGCCCGCGGGCAGCCCCAGGCAGACCACGCAATGGTGAGAGCGCCTGGTGTCCATGGGGCGGGCCACCTCCCCACGGTCTGGCAGGGCTCTTGGAGCAGGTGGCCCCATGTCCTTCCCAAAGCTAAGGTTTCCTCGGAGTATAAAAATCTTTAAAAAGGTTGTAAACTTTATTTGAGAGAGAGCGCATGCGCACAAGTGGGAGGGACAGAGGGAGAGAGACTCTCCCAGGCTCCGCGCTCAGTGCAGAGCCCGCCGCGGGGCTCCGTCCCACCACCCGGAGACCAGAACCTGACCCCATGCCAAGGGCCCACGCTGATCTGACCGCGCCGCCCACGCACCCCAAGTTTAACTTTTAAAGTTTCATTTGTGATTTTCTTTCTTCATGATTAGGAAGTGCGGCGTGTTCGTTGTATAACATGTAGCAAATACAAAAACAAGAAACAGAAAATGGAAGGGGCGGCCTGCCCCCCCACCCCCACCGGTGCCTGCGTGGCTCCGGGTCTGTCTCATACTGATGGGGCCAGGGTGTCCTGCAGCCCACACTGTAGTGCAGTGGCTTTCCGTCAAATATAACTGTGTGCCACGTTGTAAGGTCCTTTTTTCCCAACGACATTAAATGTTTTTGTAAAATGTTTTTAAGTAGCCATTCATCATTCACGTGATTCTACCCCGTTATTGGACAGTGGGAGGCCCCCACCGGAGCGGGCGGGGAGCTGGAAAGCCAGACTGAATGGTGGGGCCAGTGACTTGTGGCTCGTGCCCTCTCCTGCTGACCCCTGCACCCAGTGGGAAGGGTCCCAGGAGAGGCGCTCCAGCGAGGCCCCCAGACAGGGCTAAAGCCGACTTGACCAACTGGAGTAACCCTGACAGTGTGCACGCCGTGGCGGGGTGCAGCCCAGAAGCAGTGGGGCACCTCCCACAGCTGCTCCGGAGGGACCCCCACCCCCCACGTGGCATCTCTGGAAAGGTACTTTCTTGTGTTTTAGATTGGTGATCCTAATTTTTAAAGAAAGGAGCAACTCTTAGGTCAGTAAGTTAAAAATCCCTCCCGGGGCACCTGGGGGGCTCAGTGGGTTAAAGCCTCTGCCTTCGGCCCAGGTCATGATCTCAGGGTCCTGGGATCGAGCCCCGCATCGGGCTCTCTGCTCAGCGGGGAGCCTGCTTCCCCTTCTGTCTCTGCCTCTCTGCCTGTTTGTGATCTCTGTCTATCAAATAAATAAATAAAATCTTAAAAAAAAAAAAATCCCTGCCACTCGGCTGGGTGAAATGGAAAGGGACAGACGCCGAGAAACCTGTGTTGGCAAGGCCGTGCGCGGTTGGGCCCTCCGTGCACTGTGGTGGGAAGCAGTGTGGCCAACAGCATGGTGTCTTCTCGGCTCAGCCCAGCCCTTTCCCCCGGGAACAGGCGGTTCAGGCCCACGGGAACATCGGTGTGCGACTGTCCATGGTGGCCACAAGGCGGAACCCAGATGAGTGTGGTCCAGCCGTGGGAAGGAGTAGATGCCAGCAGGTGCCACAATGTGGATGGACCCTGAAAGCAGCCTGCTGGGGGAGGGGCCAGATGCAGACCACATACCGGGGGGCTCCGTGTGTGTGAGCCTTCACAACAGGCAGGCCTCTGGAGGCAGAAAGCGGGCTCGTGGTTGCCAAAGAGGAGTGTGGGGAGCAACAGCTAATGGGTGCGGAGTCTTCTTTTTGGGGTGATGAAAACGGACTGGAAATTGGCGGTGGTGATGTTCTCTCACACCTAAATATGCTAAAAACGCTGCATTGTGCTGTGTGTATTAGATCAATAAAGCTTTTTTTAAAAAATCACTGAGGTGTGTGCCCAGACATTTAATTCAGTTTGCAAACCAACTGAAACAGCTTTCAAATTAGCATTCTTGTTGAACCAGAGACATGAGGGGCCCCTGTTTTCAGGGGTCCAGGCTGTGCCCCCTCACCCTGTGTCTCAGGTGCAACCCCAGTCCCCCTGCATTTGGAATTTGGGGGCAGCAGAGGGAGTCCCCGATGCTGTTGTGCAGGGTGGTGGCTGTGTGGGTCTGGGCGCAGCTCCTCCTCCGCTGGGCGTGTGGCTAGGCACCTGCCGGCTGGCCGGCTGCTCCGTTGAGGCCAGTGTGCCCGGCAGAAATACGTGGCCCCACACATGACTTTCAGCTTTCTAGTACGAACACTAAGAACTTAAAAGGAGAAGGTGAGGCGCTGTTGGCTGGCTCAGTTGGTAGAACACGTGTCTCTTGATCGCAGGGTCATGAGTTCAAGCCCCAGGGTGGCCATAGAGCTTACTTATAGAGAAGTATAAAAAAATAAAGTTAACAATATATCTTAACTCCAGGGGCGGCTGGGTGGCTCAGTGGGTTAAGCCTCTGTCTTCGGCTCAGGTCATGATCTCGTGGTCCTGGGATGGAGCCCAGAATCGGGCTCTCTGCTCAGCGGGGAGCCTGCTTCCCCCTCTCTCTCTCTCTGCCTGCCTCTCTGCCTGCTTGTGATCTCTCTCTCGTCAAATAAATAAATCAAATCTTTTATATATATGTGTGTATATATGTATATATACACACATATATTTATATATCTCCTGACTCCAGTATTCCCTGATTATCTTCGTTTCCACCTGTAATTGATACAAAAAATCAGTACTGGGACATTTTATGCTCTTAGCCCAGGTACATTTTGCACTTAAGGCAGGACGTGGCTGACTGGGACGGTGCAGGGCGAGGAGGGGACAGGGCCTCCCTGTGGGGGCGACGGCATCTGGAGTCCGAGGCTGGTGCCGGCCCCTGGCTGCCCGTGTTCCTGCCCCGCATTTCTACGGTGCACGCCTTGTCAGTCACATGGGGTGGCCCAGGAGGGCTAGGTGCAGGTGTGGTGGTCCGGGCAGGAGTCACGCTCTCGGAAGGGCTCTGGCACAGTGAGGCGACAGCGCCCCCATCACCCTCTCCTGGGCCTCAGCCACCTGTGATGAAGGGCACGGGAAGCACCTGTGGGAGTCACACAGCCGCCACCTCTGTATTTGCAGAAAAAAACAGTGTAGGACAGCGGTGTAGGAAGCATGACCTGGCGTCCAAAGGAGAGTGCTCTGATGACCTATTTAAAGGTTGCCTCCGTGAACCAGAATGTGGAGAAAACTCCGTCCTATGCCGTGTCCCGCTCTGCTGGGACAGGCGGACAGCCGGGCGGAAGGCTGAGCTCCGGCCCCACCAGGCTGCTTGGACTCTCAGCTGGCAATGTAGTTTCTTTTGGGTCCTTTAATTTCTGCCCTTTGCCTTCAATTTCCACCTTTCTGGGTTATTTGAGGGGCAGCTTTAGGTCCAGAAACATCTTGAAGCACCCGGGAGCCTGGTCCTCTGGGCTTCTGGCAGTGTCCCAGGCTTGGCCACTGTGTTCCTCCCATGCACGAAGCCTATAGTGGGAAGACCCCGGCCCCTGTCTTTCCCTCCTGTGGAACAGAGGAGACAGCCAGATCACAGCCAGTGCCGGGCAGGCGTTGTGAGCCCTTGCTCTGTGGTTCTCAATGCCCTCACTTAGCCCACAGTGCCCGCTTCACTGTGTGGCTGGACCAGGACCCCAGCGTGGGTGGTACCGATGCCAGGGGCTCCATCTGGAGGGTGACCCTGCTGAGGTGCCCTCTTGCCCCCGGCTGGGCCTGGTTGAGGGGCTGGGTTCCAGGAGGCCTTGGGTCTGGCTTGGTCAGTGTGCTGAGCGGGAGGCCGTGGGGCCCAGGGCTGGAACATCCAGGGGCCCCTGGAGCATCCCCAACCTACAGCAGATGCCGGGCGTGGCCTGGGTCAACCTCAGAATTAAAACAGCCAGTTATTTTACCAGCGAAGTGGGTTTGCTGGGGAATGGCACGGGAGTTGGAATTCAGGACAAGCAAGCTATGGCAAACCCACAGGCTAGTCTGGAGAACACAGAGGAGGTCCCTCGGAGGGAAGTGAGGGCTCAGGGCGCTCGCAGCTTCTCACTGAGTTTACAGGGCCAGGGCGGAGCCGTCCTTCCTCCTGCCTAGGGGTGACGGAGTGTGGACTGTCATCTTGTCCAGCCAGCGCAGCATGGCCAGACGCTCAGGCCGAGAGCTCCCCCTGCTGGCCGCCTGGCTCCATGGAAAATGAGGTTTCCTTTTATTGGGTCTTGAAGCCGCCAGGGTTCTGGCTGGAGGGCACCCCTCCCAGGTGGGCACCCAGTTAAACTCGTGGGGCCCAGCTGTCGGAGGAGGTAGTCTGTCCTGCCCCCTCCTGCAGGTGGGGGCCTGGGGCACCCCGCTGCGGGGCAGGGGCAGGGGGCGGGTGGGCTCTCTGAGGCCCGCATTCCAATGTGTGGCTCGGTTCCCAGCAAGAAAAAGTCGTGAGGCCTGAACAAGTTGCACGCGTTGACCGTTCATTTTATTTTATTTTATTTTTTTTTTTAAGATTTTATTTATTTATTTGATAGAGAGATCACAAGCAGGCAGAGAGGCAGGCAGAGAGAGAGGAGGAAGCAGGCTCCCTGCTGAGCAGAGAGCCCGATGCGGGGCTCGATCCCAGGACTCCGAGATCATGACCTGAGCCGAAGGCAGCGGCTTAACCCACTGAGCCACCCAGGCGCCCCTGACCGTTCATTTTAAATGGAAGTTCTGAGGCTTCCAGGAGGCCGTCCGGCGGGCTCCAGAAGGCCGTCCCTGGGAAGGCCTGGTCTTGGTGTAGCCTCTAAACCCTGAACTGCATTTTCAGCTCAAGACAATCTGGACTCCAAGCAGACTTTTTTCTCTTTAAAATGAGGTCAATTAAAACAGTCTGCCATGGGGTGAATTTGACTCTGGTCTTTGCCAGCTCAGAAGCACGTGGGCTTGTGGATTTTGGATTCCAGGCTCCGGAGCAGAACAAAGCTTGTGTAAGGAGAGCTGAGCTGGGTTTCCCGTGGCCTCACCCTTTCTCAAGGAGGAGGGTCTGGGTCTGTCTACCTGCCCTGGGGCTCGCCCAAGGACACAGCCCGCCCCTTCCGTGCCCC